GGTATTATTTATTTCAGTGAGTCTACTCTGAATATGTCATAGTTAACTATCTAATTTAAAATAACAGTATGAACTATTGATCATGTTAGTCTAATTAAATCATTACAATTCCTTAAATTATTTTAAATTGCAGGCTGCACTAAGCATTACTAGATTAAGTCATATACCAGTTTACCTGAGAGTAGGGAAGCAGAACTTGCTTCAATTTGCATGTTTGTCTGTGGTCAGAAACACAACAATATACCATATTTTTCCGTGTATAAGACGCCCCCTACGTTTGAGGAACCCAAATTTAGAAAATGGGCATATGCACTATCTGTGTATGACGCCCCCAGATTTTTAACCTTATTTTAAAAGTAAAAAAAAACCTAGTCTTGTACAAGGAAAAGTATGGTATAATTAGTAACTTTTTACATTATTTTAGTGTTTCATTTACATTGAAATGAACGTAAGTTATCTAAGTTATGTAATTAGTTGCATAAAAGTAAAGTAAAGGGACCCCTGACCATTAGGTCCAGTCGTGGCCGACTCTGGGGTTGCTTCGCTCATCTCGCTTTACTGGCCGAGGGATCCGGCGTACAGCTTCCAGGTCATGTGGCCAGCATGACTAAGCCGCTTCTGGCGAACCAGAGCAGTGCACGGAAACACCGTTTACCTTCCCGCGGGAGTGGTACCTATTTATCTACTTGCAATTTGTGCTTTTGAACTGCTTGGTTGGCAGGAGCTGGGACCGAGCAACGGGAGCTCACCCCGTCGCAGGGATTTGAACCTCTGACCTTCTGATTGGCAAGCCCTAGGCTCTGTGGTTTTACCCACAGCGCCACCCGCATCCCAATTAGTTGCATAACTTATGTTAAATAGCAGACCATGAAATGGATAACAGTGGTTTGAGCCTTACAGAGTAACCTTAAAAAAGATACGTAAGGCTTTTTTCTTTCTCCTAAGTAGATGGTAGCAGGGAACATTGGGGGGGATTCAAGGGAGATGTAATGAGGGTCATGGGCCGTCCACCTGTTGGGATGGAATATTCTGAAAATCTCAACGTCAATTGAAGTGGGATTCCCCCTCCCCCTTTTAACCAGATCTACTAAAAATACAAACAATTCCCACATATTATATGCATTGTTGTAAATGTGATATTATCCACATATATGTGCATACATTCCAGATTACCTAAAGCACTCAGTACAAGCCTGATTGACATCCAATGCCCTTTTAAAATGTGTTGTTGAAGGAGGGATTCTTGTGTTGTCTTTATTTTTGTTTTTATTCTGTATTTTCTGTTTTTATATTGTAATTTTATATTGTGAACTACCCTGAGACCTATGGGTATAGGGCGGTTATACAAATTTAAACAACAACAACAACGGTAATAATTTTATTTACACCCCAGCCACTCAGGGTGGCTTCCAACACATATATAAGCATCATAAAACATCAAACAATAATAATAACAATCTGATCCAATACAAAAAAGTCACAATAACTTTAACCAACTTACATCAAATAAAGCAATATTCAACATTCCAGTAGAATCTAATAGTAAACAGTAGAATTAAATATCAGCAACTAATAATTAAATAGTTTATACTTATCAATTACATTAAAGAAATACTAAACTATATAATCATTAAAAATAACAAGTCACATTGCATAAAATACCACAAAACATACAAAAACATGTAAAATTAAGAAACAAAGACACACAACTTATAAAATTATTTCAAAAAATATCCCTGAACTCCTCTTCTCTCTTCCCAGCTGCTTCTGCTATTCTCAAGTCCTGGTCTGGGCTGAAGGGGGGGTAAGGCAGGTGGGAAAAGCCATTGCCTGATGTCAACTGTCCCTGTCACTACATTCCCGTATCTACGTTTGGCATTGTTTTGCTTTCTGTACTGCACCTAATTTTGAGGTGGAGAAGTAAGATGGGAGAAAAATGTGTTTTGGCACATCATATTTTCTTATTTCCCTGTTTCAGTGCTAGCCAAAAAGTGTCTTACCCCCCTCCACAAAATGTATTCTGTTCACAGTCATCATACTATTTAATCTACTCATGCATGATTCTGTTTTCACCCGTGTATAAAACAACCTGTTGTTGCAATGTCTAGGAAAAGGACATGAAGCAATTAATCTAGTCCTGCTAACTTCTCTTCTACCTGTTACGTATAAAATTCAACTATTCTACATAAAGTAAGCCTTTCATACCAATTATATCTATATGCTCCTAAATTCTCTCCAGCATCTTCTCTTGCTTGACACATACATTCTAGGAAGCAGCATAAGTGTGGGCTGGCAGCACTAACAACAAGATTAAAGAAAGTAAAGGACCTGCAGTAGTTTGGCAGTCAGAAAATGGAGACACAAAGGAACGGTCTGAAAAAGACTGAGAGCTGGATGGTAATTTAGAAGAGCAAAGCCTTGGAAAAAATCTGTGATGTGAAAGAGATGAGAAGGCCCATTTAATGCTTAATCAAAAAGGTTGTTGACCTAGAAAAGAAACCATGGTTGCGGCTCCAATTTGAGATTTTAAAAGGATACTACTGGAGGTCAACGCATAAAAGGTTTTCCTCAGACAGACTTTCTTCAGTTTTGCTTTCCTCCCCCCATGCATCTCATTGTTTGTTGAACTCATGCCCTCAGCATAAGAAATAGCGAGGGAGCTAATAATCCATTTCCTTTTTCATTGAAATTTCATTCACAGGGTGAATGAATAAATAAATATACTTGCATGCCTTTTCTATTTAAAAATGGTACAAAGCCAATAATTTTAGAACATAGATATGAGAGGTTTTTTTTTGAAAAGGTTGTTCACATTCTTTTTCTTTTTACAAAAATCAACACATCTCCTCTTTCATGCAAAATAGTGGAAACAACATACACGTACAAACACACACAGTATGGTATAATGAATAGAGTGCTAACATTAGCTCAGATTGCCACTAAGCCCTGAAGCAAACTGGATTCACATCTCTTCTCAGTGGCAGCCACTCTGAGGGTTTTTGAGGTGGGGGCGGGGGAAGCAGTTGCGGGAATATTGGGTGGGTGGTGGGCAGAAGGAGCACGGAGATGGGGCAGGAGGCACGGTGTGTTTGTGTGTGCGCTGCTTTGCCCTCCTGAAATGTTGGAGGCTATGATATTGTTGTGCACCACCCGGATACCTTTTGAGATGGTGGTATAAATGCTGTCTTAATAAATGAATGAATATACATAAATAGACAGGGCTGAGGCAGAAAGTTTGTGGTGCTTCCATGCCGCCAACGGAACATCAATGGAAGTGGCCTGTGGTTCGTTCAGTAGCTTTGCAGGAACTCTGGTGTGATTGGAGTCACCAAGGGGGGCTTTTCTCCCTCTCACTGGACTCTGAATTTGGCTGGGCCCTGACTTTAAGTTTGGATTTAGGTTGCTATATTTGAATAATCTGAATACTTTGGGGTAGGTGATAGTCAAATATTTATTTCCTCGTTTTGTCAATAATTCCTATGCCCTGTTATTGGGAGGGCAATTCAGGGCGCACGCACGCACGCACACACACCATTCCGCCAACCCCATCACTTGCCCCCTCCCTGCCATCGACCCTTTCAATAATGGTTCTGTGCTTAATCTCTAAAGAGAGAGATGCTGGGGCTTTAATCTGTTTTGAAGATACAACATCATTATGTAAGCCCTCCATGGGACACATCCCATTATTGATTGTGTTGTTCAAGCTATTGCACGCTGGGCCATACCACCAGCCTGCTGGACTCTGGTCCTATCCACTCTTTCATCATCATTATACTAGTGCTGCCATATTTAAAAAAGTGAAAATCTGGAAAATCACCCAAAACAAACCGCCGACATGAGTTTCCATACATCCAGATTTTCCCAGACATTTTTGCGATTTCCTCCCAGACACTGTTTCCGACGGCCGAATCCCGGCTATGTCCAGGAAATTCCAGACGTATGGCAGCCCCACTTTGTGCAATTTACCTCTGTGAAATGTTAGAAACGCTGAGTCTATTAAAAGTTATTTAAATGATCAGGGAATGTACCAGTAGTAAGAGGTCCTTTGCCTCAAGAAGGCTTCTTTCTGCTAAAATAATTAAAGATACAGGAAGCGTAAGCTTCAAAAACAAATAAAATGTAACTAATGCTGTCTTTCCATTCATGGAAGCGTCTTTGATCCAGTGGCAGAGGGAGGGAAGCAACAGCCATAAATTCCTCCTTCCCTCTGCCAGCCTCTCCACCTCCAAAAAAACTGCTGCAGAGGGTTCAGGGACTCTCTTGAACACGATGAAAGGTGGCATGGAGGACTTTGAACATGACCCTGAAACAGATTCAGCAAAACAGTTGTTCACAAATATTGTATGGTGTTCTCTTGATATTCCTTCCAGTTTGGATGAACTTGCTCACATATTTATTTAAATCTTTTATAACTCGTCCACACAGTTTTCATCAATTCCTCATGCAGGGATTTCTACATATGCATTCAGAATATGTATTCAGAATATGCAAAACTGAAATAAGCATCATTCCAAAGATTTTCCTTCTGATTATCTGTTTTACCCTGCAGACTTCTACAAGGGAAGACTGTTTGACAAGTTGTTTGCTTGCAAAGTTTATCTGAAATAACAAGATGTCAGTGATTACTTTTATTGCTAAAGGGAAGGAAACCAATACCTTGAATTAAAAAAAATTGGAGCAATGCTTATATACAGCTCTTCTATTCTTTCAGCAGAACATGAAAGGATGAACATATTTTAACCTGTTTATGCGAGCAAAACATGGACCTTTTAAAGGGGGGAAAGTATGTTATTCCATCTGTATATCAGGCCATTGGCAGCCAATCTTGTTCTTCCTGAAGAATAATCATGTTCTCTAAACAGAAAAAGCAGAATGCAAATGCTGCCCTTGTGATGTGGATGTTAAGTGAGCAGGGGTGGGGAGGGGAGAGATGGATTATTATTACCACTGATTTCCTAACATCCATAACCAAAAGGTTTAAGGGAAACTAAATCTGGACTGCAACCAGATCAACACTCATTTAATTTCTCTTTTGTCCTTATTGTTTTGGGGAAAAGGGGGATATTATTTTTATTAGCACATTTCCTATAAAGGAAAGATATAGAAATAGATTAACTATATTGGCCTGGTACTTTCACATATCAGACTCCAAATATTCATTCTCTGTTCCTCTTTCCTACTCTCCTTTTCTTAGAAATACATTGGGGGGCGGGGAATCCTCTTAGCAATTGCTACTTGTATTTGTATTCAATAAATTAATAAGGAGCTCTACATACAGAAATAAAAGCTCTAAATATACATTTTTATTAACAAAAACTAAGTTAATTTAAATAGAGTGCATCAGTAATGTTTCTCTGTAAGGAACCATGCTTTTCTCATTGTATTTATTACTAAGTGGTATAAAGGCAAAGAAAAATCTAACATAAAGTTAAGTGAATTACAATATAATTTTCAGCAGTTTTATTTGTATAACTTATTTAAAATGAAAACGCCTGCAGTATTCTCAGCAGTTTCGTTGGATTTTTAAACTTAGGTTGACTAATATAAGTTGCAGCACCAAAAATGCAAGCAAAGGCGCTTGTTTGTAAGTAAGAAAGAGATCTTTCTTTAGGCAACTAATGGTACAGGCTGATCAGAAGTCCCAGGGCTCAGGCGTTAGAGTTCAGGAGTTCAAGAGCAGGGCAAGAACTGGATGGAAGTGATAAAATCCCAAGAAGTTCCCAAGGCTTCCCCGCCAAGCTGTTAAAAATGAGACATGGTTGACTCCTGAGACTCACTCACCTTGCTGAAATGTTGGAATTGCAAATGCATGCTCTGCTGTGAAGGCAGCACCTGAGGCGAGGCAAGAAGGCTGCCCTCTCCTGTTCGCTTGCTGCCACCCCCTACTCAGCCTCCTCCCTTGGCTGATCAAGGCCTTCCCCAGCCTCCACTGGGGCTCTCCGCTCCACAGGAAAGTTGTGGGAAGGGGAGAGGTGGCGTCCCAGATCTGCCTTCTGAAATGACTGGAATCAGGGTGGAAAGGAGATATGCCCTCTCTACCAACCTAGGCCCCCACAATTGAAGTGCCCTTCTGTCTCTTCCTCCTGCAACAGAGCCTGCCAGCCCAAGCCCAGCAGTGCTGTGGGGCTCATGACAATTGAACCCTGTCAACCAATTACTTTTGAAGTAAACTACAGTGATTTTGCTTTCTACTGGCAATAAAATTATTATGCAAAGGAAAGTAATTCCACATGTTATTGCCTATTGCTCCTCACACTGATTTGGGCAAATATGACTGAAATGTGAGCTAGGAAGTTGCCAGTTCAAATCATGCTTCAGCTATGCACACACTCCTTAAGCAAGCCTTAATCTCTCAGCCTCACCATATTCATTGTGGAGATAATAACACTGCTCTAATTTACAGGGGGATGTAGGCAGCTAAGCTGCACTCAGCAAAGACCCATTGAAATAAATCACTCTAAGTTAGACATGCCCATTAACTGCAGTGGCTCTGCTCTGAGTAGAATGAGCATAGGATGCATCATAGGGATTTTGTAAGGGGTGCTAAGAATTGATATCAAAGAATTTAACTTCTCTGTAGTGTGTTTATTATGAATGCCTATTATCATAAAGTAGTATTCAATTAAGTTTTACTAAAACTAGACCTACTGAAATTAATGGCCTAACTTAGCCATGTTCATTCATTTTTGTGGGCCAACACTGCGTGAAGCTTAGTTGACTATCACCCATAATTATCAATATTGTTTGACCATAATACAGCACCACGTTACTAATGCTGAAGCCCATTAATATTAATGGGTTAAAGATATCTTCCTCCTCTTTTTAAAATTTAATTTGCTAAAGTTCATTCTACACACACACTCTCTCTAGCATTGCTTCATTAACCTATAATTAATATTATAACATATAATATTATAAATTTCAGAATAGAATACAAATCTCAGAATGATAAATAGAACATTTTAAATAGATTATAGTTTCTTATATTAATAAACATTAATGAATTCATTGTTTATAAGCCATTAAATGTACAAATACCAGAGTGGGTGAGTCAGAAGTATTTTTCTGCATGTGAAAAATGCTTTCTGCTCATGGAAGAGATCTTGCACGTCACGACAGAGCTCAAGAAAATTGAAACGAAACTTTTCTTTGGGTGTGTTCTGTGGAAATATTTATGGGTGAAGGCATTGCTCAGTTAGTGGAGCATGAGACTCTTAATTTCAGGTTTGTTGGTTTGAACCTCACATTGAGCAAAAAGCTTCCTGCATTGCAGGGGGTGGCTAGATGACCCTTGTGGTACCTTCTAACTGTATGAGTCTATGATTCTGTCTCAAAAAGTAGAGTTTAATTGATTGTGTTTAAAATTAATGAATTGCCTAAGAGCTTTCTTTGGCCTTTGGCACACATAAAGCAAACAAACTGCTATAGAGCCTTAGTATTATAGCACTGCATGGAATTTGTGGAATTATGCTAGCATTTATTTTCCTTCTCCCTGCAGTCATTTTGATCTGGTTCATAGATTTTTCATCATTCCTAAAACAGTGCTGCACTGGGCCCACTTTCAAATCTTTATTGAAACAAGTAGGGTATGAAGAAAGAAAGAAAGAAAGAAAGAAAGAGAAATGTTTTGGGCCCGTGTGCAGTGTGCCCTGAGGGACAGGAAAGGAGGAAGTGGCAGCAGAACAGAAGTAAAAACGTTCTGGAACTGAAAATGACCACAACTTTTTTATTATTACAAATGCCGGTAGGCTTTGGCTTAGGCATTGGGCATGTATCCTGAATTAGCCTCCTGCCTGCAGGCTGATGTTGGACAGGGTCAGGCTTGGGTTAAGGGTCACCTCAAAACACAGGTCAACTAAGCTGTGTCCCCCCCCCCCCCGCCGCCTTTGGAGGTTGTATGGCCCATTTGCTCCCCATTTTGGCTTCTGGACAGAATCTTCTTCTTAAAGGTATCCTGAGATACCGCATCTGCTCAAGGCAGATGATGCACCATCTCACCTGTCCGTCGTCCCCCCCCCCCGTGCCAGAATAGACTAAAGATTCAATCCAATGCCTTATCTGCTGAAAGTTGTGACAATTGCTATGAGGAAGGCAAAATCCTCAAACAGCCCAATTTGTTCCCGCCTCCAAAAACGATGATTTCCTCTATAGCAAAATCTTCTGAATGCAATGCCCATGTGGCTAGTGGATTGATCTGCCGCTGATGATACTGCTGGCACTCAGCGCGACCAGCTTAAATCCCCTTGGTATCAGACTGGAGTGAAGTCTTGAGCCCTCTGGTCCTCTGCCAAAGCACCCCAAAGGTCTTCATTGGCCAATTTTGATTTAAATTTTTGCAGGCTATCCCATCATCCTCTGTGGCCGGCCAGAGGCCAAAGCAAAGTGGCCAGCTCTGAAGGAAGAGGTGACTGCCCCTCCACAAGGGGCCATGCCAGGCCGCAACTGTAAGGGGAAGCAATTTTTGCTGTGGACCCTCATTTCTAACAGTGCTCATGTTCATGGTTCAGCCAGCTAGCGGTTCTAGGATTTAATAAATTGGATTTAATAAGTGGTGCTGTGGTCTAAACCACTGAGCCTAGGACTTGCCGATCAGAAGGTTGGCGGTTTGAATTCCTGCTACGGGGTGAGTATCCATTGCTCGGTCCCTGCTCCTGCCCACCTAGCAGTTCAAAAGCACGCCCAAAACTGCAAGTAGATAAATAGGTGCCACTCTGGCAGAAAGGTAAATGGCATTTCCATGCGCTGTTCTGGTTTCGCCAGAAGCGGCTCATGGCCCAGAGAAACTGTCTGTGGACAAACGTCGGCTCCCTCGGCCAATAAAGCAAGATGCGCGCCGCAACCTCAGAGACATCTGCGACTGGACTTAACTGCCAGGGGTCCTTTACCTTTACCTTTTTAGGATTTAATAAGCTGTAAGGCACTGAAGCAGGGATTGCGGGGTGCAGGCAGGATTTTCCTGGAGTGGCAACTGTCTCCATCCTACAGTTCTGATTTAGGGCAATGCTGAGATGACTTGGTAGGTGAGACTTTGGTAGGGGGTTAGGAAGTGGGAATGAGAGCAGTAAAGGGAGACAATGATTGGACCAGGAAGGGTGAATCAGGTATGGTTTTTCTCTAAAATGCAGATCAAAATAAATTTCCCATTCCCAGTTGCTACAGACCTTTGCGCATTTCACACTAGGGGGCAGAGGTGCACGGTGCACCCCCGTTCCTGGCTCCCATGCTATGAAAATGAGAGTATTAATTCCCAAATAGGGCAAAGGTTGGGGGAAAATAAAATATTTATGCATGTTAGTTTCAGTACTTTTTAGATTCATGTATGTTATATATTTTTAATGCCCACAGTATTCCTTTCCTGAGGTACAATGCAATCACATTTTTTACAGAAAGCTTTGAGGCAATGTTTACTTTCTTGACAGTATATAACACCAAGGTTACAACTACTGACAAGAGGAGATTTTAACAAAGAGAATGTCCTGTTAAAAAAGAGGAGGCTGGGGTGTGTTTGTTTAGAATCTATAGCTAGTTGAGCACAATAACAGCTGGAAATGACAGTATTTGTGCATTCTAAGAAAGAGATGTTGTGGTGCTCAACCTCTTCAGTCAGAAATGAGCTATAAAAAGCCTGTAATCTAAAACTGGCAACATCAGATGCTTGAGTGCAAAAATGGATTTTGTTGTTGTTTTCTCCTGGGATCAATCTAAAGGAGCAGAAAACCCAAGATGTTTTATTGTTCATTTTCTTTTCTTTGTATTCTGCAGGAGTACTAAAATGAGTTGGGAAGTTGGTGGGGTTCGCTCTTCCTGCTCAGCTTTGTCCAGTGGGGGGCGGGAAAAGAATATGTCACCGGAAGCTATTGAACAATAGATGGGAAGCAGCATATTTGAGCAGGAATGCGCAGAACTGTATGTATGTAAATCTTAATGTTGCTGCTTCTGCTAGTATGTTTTATCCCACCTGGCCTCCCCCATCCTATGATATTTTACCACAGCACTCCAAGGTGTGTTAGGGTGAGAGATAGTAACTGTCCTAAGGTCGCCCCATGAGCTTATGACTGAGCAGGGCCTTGGACCTTCTTCTCCCTGATCCTGGTGTGACGTGGTAACTGCTGTATCATGTCATCCTGGTCCAGAAACACTGGCACTCCTCTCCAGGGAGGCCACCTGGGCCTCAAATGGCAGCGTGGCGTTGAGAGGCACCCCCCAGACCATGAGCCTGTTCTCTCAGGGGAAGTGCTAGGCTGCCTCCCTGATTTCCATGCACACATACATACCATCTTATCAGGATCAGCCTTAGCTCATTGGCCTTCATCTGGCCCATCTGGCTCAGTGCTTGCACAGCCTTTCCTGATTCATGGGGAATGGAGAGAGAGAGAGAGGCAGGGTTCACTCACTTACATATTTGTTTTTATAGTTATATTAGAGACATTGCATTCCCAATCCCTCCTAGTGGTTTCATATATATATTAAATATTCTGGGGGACAAGGTGGAACTTGATGGCAGACTGCCTACACATTCTGTGTCCATTATTTGTTGAAATCTGCCCTGCTTAGATGGATGTCAAGTGCATAATGATAAGGTTACACAGGAAAGAATGAAAGAAAAAATATGTTGCTTTCACATAGCCGAGTCTGAACATCCTTCTAGTTCATTTTTCAATTAGAGCTAATGTTCTAACATCCCCCTATAGTTTCCTGATGTAACTTTATCTGAGTGGGTGGCTATTTAAAACTAAAAATGTAAACCTTCATCTCCGCATTTCTTGTCTACTTCCCTTACTGAAGTACATAATGAAAGTTATGTTTTAATGGTTGCCTTTTTTATTTTAAAGAGAGGATCACAGTCTATTTGTCATAGAAAAATATCATCAGCATGGTAATTGTAGAATAATGCAATGCACAGTTTAAAGATTAATGTTAGCAAAATAAATAAATAAATATTACTTCACATGGTAAGAAGACTAATGGGGCACATCTTAGATTAGTTTAGTTTATACATAGCTGTGCCAGTAAAAGGAGTATTCACATATATTTTATTTAATTATTAGTGCATTCATCTGGGTGATATTTCTATTCATGAATATCCCTTTCTTAACCACATTTCTGCACCACATCTAAATTAAAACTATTTTTTCCAGAGAACACAGATTTGAAGTTTGTAACATTTTGATATGCCATTAGGTATTATAGACAGTTTTGTTTTTCTGATAGGGCAGGTGATGTGTGTATTCTTTTCCTAGCATTTCTATCTTGTTCAAATATTTAATTAGTGATTTAAATTTGTATCCCCACAGCCAAGAACTAGCATAACAGAAGCATCACAGAACCTGTGCTGTGTGTGTGTGTGTGTGTGTGTGTGTGTGTGTGTTGGGCATCTCTCAGTGCACAGTGTGCTCTGCTGCTGAATCCCCATCACTTCGTTCCAGGATACACAGCCTGAGAGCCTGAGGAGAGCATCTGCATGCATATGTCAGACCCTCCTCTTTTTCTAGGAAGTCTTCCTAGTAGGAATGGGTCATTTCAGGCCAGGGATAGTGGGGCCTGCCCCATTGCTAGACTTTGGCGAGAAGGTTGGGGGGAGCACAGTACCTGCATTTGCTACCACCTCTGCATTTCCCTTTACCTGACTGGTGGAAGGTTTCTTCACTTTTGGGCAGGGGGAGGATGAGGTTCAACACAGACTTGTTCTATTCTCCGCGGCGACCCGGAAGTAACAGAGCGCATTACTTCCGGGTTTCGCCACTCGCGCATGCGCAGACGCTCAAAATGACGTCACGTGCATGCGCGGAAGCGGTGAAACACGACCTGCGCAGACGTGTGTTACGTTCTACTCAGGATGCGAATGGAGCTCTGGAACGGATCCTGTTCGTATCCAGAGGTACCACTGTACATGCATATACAGTAACTTGTGGACTTTGGTAAAATACCCAAATATTGCCCTATATATACAATTACACAGGTTGAAAGTACTGACAATGTTTAAGAAACAGGGAAATATCTCACTTAATGATTATATAAAACATGTAAGTGTTGGCTGAGTGAGAAGTGTAAGGTGGAGAGTAATACTGCAATGCCAAATTTTGTTTAATGCATTCTATAGAATTATAAAAATATTTTTAAATGTGCATGTCACAGATGCAGCTTGGCCTTCACAGCTGTAGTTTTGAGGCTGGGAAACAGGATTCTGGGTGAGATGTGTCTCGTGGGCCAGGAGTCGCCTTCACCTGCTGAGCCTAAGGAGCAGAAGGCGAAGTGACTCCAGACCGGCTGCTGATCAGCCTTCTTGCTCTGGATGAGAACCAGCTGCCTCCAGCTTTCTTAAGCAGGACTTCCAGCCTCAGTCAGTTGTTGGAAACAACATTTGTCGTTCCTGACCAGACCTTGCTGCTTCTTGCTTCTCATGACCTTGGACTTTCAGCTTTCTTGACCCTCGGACCATCTTACTATGTGAACTGAAATACCCCTGACCTTAGGACTGGACTAAACCTTGTATATGGACTCTGCCTCCAGGCCCCCTGAGACTTGGTTGGTTGGCTGGACTCTCCTGACTCTGAGGTCTGTTGTGGCTGAGCAGCAGCAGGTAACATGACA